GTAGAGATGACTGGGAAGGGGCGTAAAGGAATCTTCCGGGGCGATGGAAATGTTCTACACCCTGTTCTGGGTGGTGATTAAGTACGTGGCCATGTGGATATGTAAAAATGTATCAAGCTGTAATACACCTAAGATTACGTTATTTTAGACTCTGTATATAATTTAAATCTTGATAAAAAGCAAGAGACTATCAAAAATGTTGAGGCAGGGGCTGGCCCCGTGGCTTAGCAGTTAAGTGCTCGCGTTCCACTACTGGTGGCCCGAGTTCGGATCCCGGGCGCCCAAAGACACACAGCTTGTCAGGCCATGCTGAGGCGGTGTCCCACATACAGCAACTAGAAAGATGTGCAACTATGACATACAACTATCTACTGGGGCTTTGGGGAGAAAAAGGGAAAAAAAAAAAAAAAAGGAGGAGGATTGGCAAGAGATGTTAGCTCAGGGCCGGTCTTCCTCAGCAAACACAGGAGGATTAGCATGGATGTTAGCTCAGGGCTGATCTTCCTCACAAAAAAAAAGAAAAATGTTGAGGCAGATTTGAAAAAAGAACCATAAAGAACTTCTAGAAATAAAAAAAATTCAATTGCAGAAATGAAAAACTCAATGAAAGAGTTCAATGGGAGATTAACACAGCTGAAGAGAAAAATTAATGATCCGAAGTCCAGCTTCTGGAAGACAGAGCTGAAGAAATTAAACAAGATGCAACAAAGGGAGATGGAGAAATGGATAATATGAAGGAGAGGTTAAGAGACAAACAAAAGAGGATGAGAAAGCCTAATATTTCTAATTTGAATTCTTTTTAGAAGTAAATAATCAAGAGAATGGGAGAGAAGCAATTTTTCAAAATAAAATAGCTGAAATTATTCCCAAATTGATAAAAGACCTGAATCTTCAGGTTCAGAAGTCAAAACGAATCCAAAGCAGGACAAATAAAAGAAAACCCACACCTGCACACATAGAAATCAAACTACAAAAGAACACTTCAAATTATCTGTACTTTTTTCTAATTAATATGTGAAAGTATTATAAATATTCTGGAAAATAATCCCTGGAAGTTATGTGTGTGGCAGTATATGACTTGTTTTATGACATGCTTTATGGTGTCTTTTAGTGAACAGAGTTATTTAGTTCTAATGTAGCCAAATTTGTCAATCCCTTCTTTTATGTTTGGCGCTTTTTATGTGGGAAAAAATCTTTCTTACCAGAAGATTGGTAAAGATATGCTTCCATATGTACTCCTAAAATGGTCATGTTTTCTTTACACAGTTAAGTCTTTGATCTACCTGGATTTGATTTCATTTTCTTATATGGATAACCGATTTTTCCAGAACCACTTGCAATGCCATCTCTATCAAGTTCTCACATAGACATAGGTCTGTTTCTGGACTCTCCATTCTGTATCACCGGTATATTTATCTATCCTTGCACCAATACTACATGAAACTAATTAATGTAACTATACAATATGTATTGATACCTCACAGTGGAAGTTCTCCCAACTTGCTCTTCTTCAAGATCATCTTGACTACTCTTAGCCTTTTGCTCTTTCCACTTAAATTTTAGAATGAGCTTGTCAAATTCATGAAAACCTGCTTAATTGGAATTGCAATGCATTATAGATCAATTTGGAAAAAACTACACTACTCTTTTGAATATACCCATCCATGAATATAGTATATCTATTTTTCTTCTCTTACTGCAATGACTAAGATCCCCAGCACAATGCTGAACAGAAGACACGATTACAGGCATCATTGTCTTTTCCTCATTTAAAGGTCCATTTTTCTCATATTTCATCACTGAGTACGATATTTGCATAGATTTTTAGTAACCAACTTTCACCTGGTTTAAGAAGTTCCCTTTTATTCTTAGCTTGCTACGAATTTCCATCATGAATGAATGCTGAATTTTATTGACTGCTTTTCCTACACCTATTGAAATGATTGTATAGTTTTTCTCTTTTAATTTGTTAATGAGGTGAATTACATTAATGAATTTCCCAATGTGAATCCACACTAGTATTATTCAGACAAACTCAACCCTGTCATAGTATATTATCTTGATTATATACTGCTGAATTCAGTTCCAGAGGATAAAAGAAGGGAACAAATAAAATAAATAGTACGAGAAAAATTCCCAGAACTGAGGGACAAGTCTCCAGCCTAATAGGGCTCTGTGTGTGCCCAGCACAACGGATGGCAAAAAGCCTACAGCAAACATAAACAAAATGTCCTAAGCCAGGCTGCCCATTGCTCAACTTCAGGAGCACCACTCCCGTCGTATTCACGTAAACAGTGTCCCCGGAGCTGTGCAGTACACGGCCATTATGGCCAGGATTCGAGCAACACGACAGCCCTCTTCCTGAGGGCTCCCAAAATGAGAACCAGAATGGCATCAGAATTTAGCAGCAACCGTGGGGGCTGGAAGAGAAAACTATGACTTCAAAATACTGAGTGAAAATTTTTTCCAATTTGGAAATCTATTCCCAAACTACAAATTAAGTGTGAAGGTAGAATAAAGGCATTTTAGATAGATCAGAACTCAGAAAATTTACTTCCCACATGCCCTTTCTTAGATAACCACAGCAAAACGTTGGAGACATTTTTGGTTGCTTCACAGCATTGATTCCTCCCTTTTTCTCCAAGTCGTATTCAGTATCCAACCTTACCTCAGACAGTGTGTTTAAGGGAAACCGGAATCCCCCATTATCCAGGGGTGTGCTTGATTAGTATCAAGATAATTCCTCTTCTCTTACTACAATATTGGTTCAGAGACTCAGGCAAGTCATAGCCCCCTCCCCAGCCACTGGGATTGGTTCAGGAATGGATGTGAGATGATCTGGTCATTGACATACAATATCTGCTAGGTATTTTCTGGAAAAGAAGTTTCCCTACTCCAAAAATGTGACCAGAAGAGATGCCCCTTCTTCCTCCAGGCCAATGGTAGGCCAGTGGAAGTCTCAAGCTGCCTCAGACATTTCACCACCATGAGAGAAGTGGCCACAAGGATAAAGCCAAACCCAAGGGAAACCCAGCCAAGCTATTCACGGGGCCTGAGCCACCAGATCAATCCTAGCCTGAAGCCAGCCCTAGCACTGGGCTCCCACTTCACTAGCCAAGAAATATTCTTAGAGTTTAAGCTTCTCCAGCAACTTCTCTGTTATCTGCAGCTAAAAGCTTCCAGGAAATCCAAGGAGTACACATGGGAAGGCACAGCATGAACACTCCACAGGGGTCTAGAGAGCAACCAGCTCAGACTGACGAGAGGTGAGGGGCTCCAGTGGGAACTCAATAGAATGCCTCATATAATGGAGCATTTGGGAGGAAAACAAACTGAAGATATGATAAAGCAAGACAATACAAGGAAAAAAAAGATTAAAAAAACTCCAGGAAAAGTAAAAGACTACAGAAAAAGGGCGATGTCATCACAGTGTAATTCTTGGCTCTGCAGTAATATTTACACAGTCACAGCAATATAAACCTGGTTTATTGACTTAACCACAACTTACGATCTGACTACACTGAGAAGATGGAAGGAGGGAAGGGAAAATAGGCAGTACAAGAATCTATTCCGGGCTGATCACAGCAAAACTAGGCAAATCTTGTCTAAAACTGATATATCAAGAAACAGCAGCATATGCTTTTTAGTGACAGGCAGATGCCTACTAGAAGAAACGGCTGAGAAACACAAAGGTGGCTGCCTCTAGGGAATGGGACCGGGGTGGAAAAATAAGTGGTTTTTGCTATTGCAAAAATAGCTTCTCAAAACTGTTTGACTTAACATTGTGCATGTATTATACCTTTATAAAACAAAATATTAAAATGTTTAGTGTAAATAAATAAAAGATTGGGGCGGGCCCCATGGTGCAGCAGTTAAGTGCTCGCGCTCCGCTGCTGACGGCCCAGGTTGGGACCCCGGGCACGCACTGAGGCACCGCTTGTCGAGCCATGCTGTGGCGACATCCCATATAAAGTGGAGGAAGATGGGCACGCATATTATCCCAGGGCCAGTCTTCCTCAGCAAAAAAAAAGAGGAGGATTGGCATGGATGTTAGCTGAGGGCTGATCTTCCTCACAAAACTTAAATAAATAAATAAACAAACAAATAAATAAATAAATAAATAAAAGATGGCTGCTTAGAGGCAAAGTCTGAAAGAACAGTAGGAAAATCAACAGTGCAGATTTATTAGGTTGGCTGGATAACAGTTGCTTTTTCCTTTTTATAACTTTGTCTAGGTTAAATTATAACAGTTATAGTTTAAACTGTGTGTAGGGGCCAGCCCCGTGGCTTGGCGGTTAAGTGCGCACACTCTGCTGCTGGCAGCCCGGGTTCGGATCCCGGGCGCGCACCGACGCACTGCTTCTCCGGCCATGCTGAGGCCGCGTCCCACATACAGCAACTAGAAGGATGTGCAGCTATGACATACAACTATCTACTGGGGCTTTGGGGAGAAAAAAAAAAGGAAGAGGATTGGCAATAGATGTTAGCTCAGAGCCGGTCTTCCTCAGCAAAAAAAGAGGAGGATTAGCCCAGATGTCAGCTCAGGGCTGATATTCCTCAAAAAAATAAAAATAAACATAAAAAAATAAAATAAACTGTGTGTAAAACTGAGACAAAAAATAAAATTGCAGGGAAAAGAAATATTAGCCCCATGTCCAGGCAGATAGAAGGCACTTGCTCCACGTGACCCGTCCAGACAGCCGGGAGACATCAGTGCCCTGCACAGGACGGAGGCTCCAAGGCAGAGAGCCAGAGGGCAGCCTGTCCCCATGGCCAGGGAAAGTCTCCTCCCTGGCCCCTGCCTCCCTCCCCAGGGCCCAGGAGATCTCCCCAGGGGCCTGGGCCCCTCAAACAAGCCAGGCCAAAAGGGAAAGGGGCCACAACTCAGCCTCCTCCACACTCGAGCCTGGGCCAGAGCTGAGTGGTCCAGATGGACCAATGCCTGGAACTTAGGTGCGAGGGGGTCCCTGGTGCAAGGGGGACGGGGGAGGGTCACCTACCACAGGAGTCGCAGGTGAAGCAGTCGGTGTGATACAGGCTCCCCATTGCCTGGCACGCCTGCCTTGCTCCGTAGATGCCAAGCCCACACTTGATGCAAATGCCTGTGGGAGGAGAGGCAGAGAGAGCAGCGGTCAGCGCCGTGACCGTGGAGCTGGATGGACGCGCACCCCACTCCCTGTCCTAATGCCGCCCACCCCCCTGACCCTGGGCAAGTGAACTTCCCCAGGCCTCCATCACTCGGTTACTAATGGCCAACCTGGGGACAAGAAGGGTTTATTGTTGACAAACCTAGGGTTTGTCGCTGCTGTTGTGAGGATTCAAAGAGTTTAGCAGGGCACCTGGCAGAGAGGCAGAGCTGAAGCCATCCTCGCCATCAAAACCACGATGACATGTTTTACCTAGAAAGTCATTCTGAGCCCCTTCACCTGGGACCTGCTCTTGGACTGAGGGAAAAGGCTTTCCACTGTCTATGAACCAAAAAGAGTGAAGACCACACAGGCACCCCCGGGGGGAGAGTCACTGACCCTCCCCAGCCACTTTCCTCCTCTGCACCATGAGGTTAATTTATACTCTTGTCAGTCAGCAAATCAACACTGAAGCCTGCCACACACCCCGCACAATTTAGGGGCTGGAAGTTCCGTGATGAACCACTCAAGTGTCCCCACCCACCAAGGAGGCTGTATTCCAGTCTGTATTCCAGTGGAGGGAGACAGACAACAACAGGTAAATAACATCTCAGGTGGAAGCGAGAGCTACGGAGGACAATAAGGCTGATAAGAATATGTCTGATTCTTAAGCAGGGTGGTTAGAGAGGGCCCCGGTTACGAGGTGATGTTTGAGCAAAAGTTGAAAGGAAATAAGGGAGGGAAGTTTCCATGCAGGTATCTGGGTTAACTGGACGGAATCGGGGACCACCCCTGGCAGCACAGTGGGGTGCTCAGCAGGCGGGAAAGCAGTGGAAAGAAGAAGGGTGACCAGCAACACCAGGGCAAAGCCCTTGGGCTCCCTGGCCAGCCCTCCTGGAGACCCAGACCAGAGGCAGCCAGCCCAGACATCAGAAGTCCCCTTCACAGAGTTAGCGGTGGGCCCCCACGGCCCCCGCCCTAGGGCATGAAGATGGGCTCCACCTGCCCTCTAGACCCTAAACCTGCCAGCTGCTCCAGGACATGATGCCCTCACCCTCGCACTTCCTACCAGATCTCTCTCCTTAACATATAACCATGGTGGAGCTGCTTTCGTCTTTTTTTTTTTTTTTTTGTGAGGAGATCAGCCCTGTGCTAACATCTGCCAATCCTCCTCTTTTGTTTTCTTTTTTTGCTGAGGAAGACTGGCCCTGGGCTAACATCCGTGCCCATCTTCCTCCACTTTATATGGGACGCCGCCACAGCATGGCTCGCAAAGCAGTGCGTCGGTGCGCGCCCAGGATCCGAACCGGCGAACCCCGGGCCACCACAGCGGAGCGGGCGCACTTAACCGCTTGCGCCACCAGGCCGGCCCCAATAATTCTTTTGTTTTTTTTTGTTTTCTTTGTTTTTTTTATGAGGAAGACCAGCCCTGAGCTAACATCCGATGCCAATGCTCCTCTTTTTTGCTGAGGAAGACTGGCCCCGTTGGGGCCGGCCCCGTGGCTTAGTGGTTGAGTGCGCGTGCTCCGCTGCTGGTGGCCCGGGTTCGGATCCCAGGCGCGCACCGACATGCCGCATCTCCGGCCATGCTGAGGCTGCGTCCCACATGCAGCAACTAGAAGGATGTGCAGCTATGACATACAACGATCTACTGGGGCGGGGGGGAAAAAAAAAAGACTGGCCCTGGGCTAACATCCATGCCCATCTTCCTCTACTTTATATGGGACGCCGCCACAGCACAGCTTAACAAGCGGTGCGTTGGTGCGTGCCCGGGATCCGAACCTGCAGACCCTGGACTGCCGCAGCAGATCGCACGCACTTAACCACTTGCACCACCAGGCTAGCCCGTCTTAAAAAATCTCTCTCTCCCCATCAGCCACCCCATTTCCCCCCTCCCCTCAGTCAAGAAAGAAAGCTTGGTCCACGCTCAGTCATCTCCTAACTGTGCAGATCTACGGACTTCCTGTTCTGATCTTGCTCGAGAGGGACCTCTCCTCCTCTTGGGTTTCCAGGATACGACCTGCATCTGGCTTTCTGGTTCTTCTCTCTCCCCTGCTCTGTCCTGGGCCTCCCACGCCACCAACTCCCCAGGGGAGGGAGGGCCAGTTCCGACGCCCTCAAAACCAAGCAGGAATGTAGAAGCAGCTGGTGGGGACCCAGGCAAACAGAGAAGAGGGGCACGGCCACCAGAGGCTGCAGCCACACCTCGGCTCTGGCAACGGCTACCGGCTGGGGATGCGGGCCCAGCACTGCTAAAGATTCTAATTTTTCAAGAAAAGCTAAACATCTAGATTTGTATGTGAAATCTTGTCATGCTAAAAATAATTACTAACTTAAATGTTTTGAAGACGCAGAAGCCAAACACACCACGTCTGCAGGTCTCCCTGGGCAGTCCCACACACTCCTAACTGGTCTCCCCTGCGGAAGGCTCCTGGCGTTCTGCCCAGTCTGGACCTCTCTCCTGAGTCACTGCCCCACCTCCCCACACGCCAGACCACTCCAGGCCCAGAAGAGAGCTCCAGGTTCCCCACAAAACTGCTCTCGCCCGTGGGTTCCTGCTCAGGCAACCGCACTTTTGCGTAGCCAGGTTTTAGGGAGCATCCCGGTCTACCCTCTCTCCCTCACCTCCAACTCCGAATCCCGGCTCCTCTGTTCCCTAATCATGACTTCACTCCCTCCTCTCACTCCCACTAGCCTGACTCAGAACGTCATCAATTCTCATTCCAATGGCTGCTTCAACAGTCTCCTCATGGCATCCCAGCCTGGCGCCCCAATTATCATCCCCAAAATTGCAGCCAGACTTATCTTTCTAAAGTGAAAATGATCCACTCTCACACCTCCACTCTTATCCATCAACTTTGAAAACCTGACCTTGTCACTTCTCTGACCAAGTTATTAGGTATACGGAGAAGAGAAGAGAAGTCAGCTGCCTGTGGAAAGCAGGACAGGAGGATGAACAAGAGGGGAGGCTATGATCTCGTATTCTTGGTTTTTTGGTTCTGTTTGATCTTTTTCTAAATAAGTGGTTGCATCACTTTATTAAAAATACACTGAAGAAGGAGAACCAGGAATATGAGGTACGTCCAAAATTCAGGGAGTAGAAGGTTTCGAGGAGAGCTGACTCCACCTGTGGGACGTAGCAGTGGCGTCCAGACCAACAAGGCCAGGCAGACACCCGCTGGGGCTGGGGCTGGAGCTGGGGAGTCGACAGGGTCCTGAGCAAGAGCTGGGTCAGTTCAGTGAGAGGAGACAGCAGATGGCTGAGGGGAGATCGGAGGCGGATAAGCAAAGACGATGCCAACCAAACACCGGGACGAGAAGATGAGATGAAAGGGCTGACGAGACCTTGTGGCCGTTTAGATTTGGGTTCGTATATTTTTTTTAATGAAAGACCCTTGTATGTATTTATAACCAAAGGAAAAGGGCCAGGGGAAAGAGGAAAGCTGAAGACGGGAGGAGGTGGAGGTTGGAGATGGAAGGACCCTTATCCTAAGATCTGGACACACACTTGAGAGCCTGCGGGTGAGGAACAGGAAGCCAAGGGGTCAGACTGCACCTGATGACCTCAATTTTCTCGGCAAAGAAGAAAGCGAGGGCAGGGGCCGGAGGAGAGCAGGTTGTTGAGGGAATAAAAGAGGTAACTGAGCAAGGCTTAGAGTGACAGGTGGCACCCAGAAGACCAGTGAGATTGCAGACCAGCAATCTGCCGCCAGGTACAGCAGGGGAAAGGGAGCCGCAGCACTGAGTCGGGGGCAGGGTTCCACAGGGCAGACGGGGACGAGAGGAATCAGAGACGCTGAGACGCAGGCTGCAGTTGGGACTGAAGGCTGCTGAAGAGAAGCAAAAACAGGGTGTGGCCCTGGGAGTGGGTGGCTGAAGAGAAGGCAGAGAGGTCACCAAAGTTCCAGAGGTTCCGGAAGCCTGAGGCTGTTGGCCGGCTAATGGCAGCGGAAGCTGGTGAGGAGAGACGGAGAAAGTTCCAAAGATGTCAGTGAAGGGCAGAGAGGCACCAGGAGGACAGCTGGCCTCAGGGCCAAGGAGAAGAAGGGATGGCACCGAGGGGAAGACACACCCTAAAGAGGAGGTTTATCAGAGACCACTGAGCGCATGCAGACTTCCTTCTGTAAAATTCTGTATTATTCAGCTTGAATTATAGGAAATGGCCACTTTTATAGCTCCAAAAGGTCAAATAGCAGCAGTAACATATCAGCAGTTCAAGCAAATATTTCCCCATATTTTAAAAAATCAGGAAAATGTTACACAGATTTGGCTTCTCTTGAAAAACCAAAAATCTGGCCGGCCCCGTGGCTTAGCAGTTAAGTGCGTGCGCTCCGCTACTGGCGGCCCGGGTTCAGATCCCGGGGCGCGCACCAACGCACCGCTTCTCCGGCCATGCTGAGGCCGCGCCCCACATACAGCAACTAGAAGGATGTGCAGCTATGACGTGCAACTATCTACTGGGGCTTTGGGGGAAAAAAAGGAGGAGGATTGGCAATAGATGTTAACTCAGAGCCAGTCTTCCTCAGTAAAAAGAGGAGGATTAGCACCGATGTTACCTCAGGGCTGATCCTCCTCAAAAAAAAAAAAAAAAAAAACACAAACATCTACCATCCCTCACCTCCTACTCCCACGTGGCTTCAGCGGGCTGGAGCTGAGCCACGGCTCCCTTTAGAAAGCAGGAACCACCAGCCCCTACGGTCTTGTACCATCAGTCCTCCACCTCTCCCACTGCCTGCCTGGGTCTAGCCACCTCCGCTTCACACAAAGACACATGAGTAGCCAGGGAGGCCCACAGAACACACCCCTGCCCAGGCCCTGCAGTGTGTGGGGACGGGAGAATGGCAGTCTCCCCTGGACAAAGCACTGGAAAGTCATTCTCTTCAGAAGACAGCCCCAGCTTTTGCTCCTGGCACCTGCCTGGCAAGAGAGGCAACAGCTTCCTAACTCATCTCCCTGCTCCCAGGCCATGTGACAGCAGCCACAAGACCTACCAAACCACACATTCTCACCCTGATGCCCCCAGATGAGCCTGAAACCCTTCAGTGTGCTCCCTCCCAAAAGCAGGCTGACCCTATGGCCCAAAAACTCCCTTGCCCACCTGACCCTCCTGGGCTGCACTCCTGGGAGCATACTGGAACATTCCACATCCTTACTAGCCTCCTTCTGCCCACATTCTTCCCTCTGCCTGGAATGCCCCCATCTGGCCTGTCACATACAGCCTCCTTCTCTCTCAAGATCCAGTTCAGGGCGGTCCTGAGCTGCTAGCTGGAATGAATGTGTGAAAGACACAAACCCCAGGACAGCCTCAGTCCCAGGCACCATAACCACCACTCCTCTCCAAAGCCAGGTGCTCAGCCTTCCTGCTTATCAGTAAGCGAGGGAGAGAAGCCCACTCCCCAGGCCCTCTCTCAGAATCTCAAGCCTGAGAGTCCTAGGAACTGTCCAAAGGCCTAGGGATCAGGGAACCAGGGTCGGACTGGGAAATGGAGGCTGTCAGAGAACGGTGGGCTTTGCAAACGCTGTGAAGCAGAATTCCTTTTGGAAACATCCCATATACGCAGCACAGCCCAGAGCGAGGACCGCCCCGTGTGACCCGCTCGGTCCTCTTCCCCTCAGGGTGGGCTTCCTCTCCCCCACACACTCTACCTCCAGCCGCTACCATCACCAAAGCCTCAGGTCAGGAGCGGGGTCTGGGGGAACCTGGACCACTGCACCTCTCTGCTGCTGTCCACACCCCACACTGCCGGGGGGAGAAGGAACCCCAGGACGGCAGGGGTCCCTACACAGCTTCGGCTAATCAGCTGATCACGAAGCATCGATTAGGATGAACAAAGTGGCAAGTACCAAGAAAAAACTACCAGCGGATGGCTTATTCTGTCACGAAGTTAGCAAGAGTACATCAACTCACTTTGCGAGAACACCTTCTTCGGCCGGGACACCTAGAAGCGGAGCCGCTATTCTAACAAACCCCAGACCCGGCGGTTCGCACTCACGCCCTCCGCGAAGCAGACGTCGCCGCCTCCCCAGCCCCACGGGGGAAGGGACAGGCTTTTCTCATCCCGGCCCCTCGTCCCACGCCGAGCCTCCGGCCACCCCACGCTCGCCTGGACTCCTCCGGCCGCCTACCCGGACGGGCCGGGCTCACTCACCGAAGTAGTCGCGCGCCGTGCGCGCCTCCAGCGCCCGCTCCAGCTCCCGGGTCAGCGCCTCCAGCCGCCGCTCC